AAAAAAATTATTTTAAAAAAGAAAACAATGGAGTATAAAAAAAAAAGCATTTTCAGAAAAGCAGAATGGGGCAGCTGCTCTTTACCCTGAAAAGTTGACCAGAAGTGTGGTTTTAACAGTACAGATATGAAAAGCAACTGTGTGGCTCTTTATTAATGTAAAGAAACTGTGAAAGACTGATTTAACATGGCAAAAACATATTATTAACATGATCACAACAAAAGAGCACAGACTGTCAGGCAGTCTCACCAGAGGAATATGGAAAGAACCCAGGCTTCTTAGCACTGCCATCGACACCCCAGAAGTAGCATCTCCTATGATTACTGGGGACGCAGTATTTTGTGTAGCAGCACAGCCTAAATTAGAACTACTGTTTCTTCTGAGACCTTTGTCTCTGTTCACTCTAGTGCCTGTCTCTGGCTGTCCATTCACCAACAGCAAAGATGCTCTCAGTGAGACAGGTATGTCACTACTGCTGTCATAGATATGGAAACCAAGCTTGAGCTGTGGCAGGAGGTCCCTGCGCTGGTTGATCTCTTTGATTGCAAATGTCATGGTCTGCATCCAGCGTAAAGCACGAGAACTGAAACTGTACAGAAGTGAAAGCAGTTCATTACACAGCATTACTAAATGTATATTAAAATATCCATACACATATACAACAACCATAAAAAAACAAGTTACTATCAAATACATTTAAGTATTCACTCACTACTTATACGAGTTAGGTGTTGGTTTTGTTGTGTATGTCTGAAGAGAAGACACAGGGCTGTAGTGTAGAGGGAATAAGCCTCCTATAACTACATCTCCATCTTCATACAGACTGTTTTTCTCCTCTTCCCCCAAGAAAACACAGTTATCCAGAGCAGCAGCTGAGCCAGGTTTGCCCCAGAAGAGACCGAGGAATATGAGAAGCTCTGGCACCACCATGGCTGGTCCAGGACTGAAGGAACACTCCAGCTCACAAAGCTTAAATATTTCAATGGCAGGATTATCAGAGGCAGCTGCCCTTTTTGGTACCATTCAATTGTTTTAAGTATTTCAGGATGCAAGTAATTTATACATAGTTAGCACACGTAAATCTGATGGGACTGCCCACATACGGTAGTTGTGACATCATTAAAGTTAACACTTTATGTTCCTGGGGTGGGGTTAATACAGTAGTCTAAGTTTTTTTCAAAAAAGAGCAGTGACTTTCATCTCAACAAATATGCCGAAATAAGCCACTGAGAGGTGAATGACGTGTTCTGGGTTAAAAATAAACCAATGTCTAGTGTGCTGTATATGTTTGGATTCAGTGATCCTTTGATTAATAATTTGACAAACACATGCTTACCCTAGCGTAGGTAGAGAGTGGAATTGTCCATATTAAACCACAATGATTTGTGTGTGTGTGTGTGTGTGTGTGTGCGTGTGTGTGTGTATGTGTACTTGTACATGCTACACAGTGACCAGCAAAAAACCTATTTTAGCAACAGAGTGAGGACATTTTTTCAAAGTGAGGACATTTTGGCTGGTCTGCACTTTTTCAAAGGTCTGTTTGAGGGTTAAGACTTGGTTTTAGGGTCCCGGTTAGAATTAATGTTAGGTTTGGGTTAAGCATTTAATTGTGATGGTTAAGCTTAGAGTACGGGGCTAGGGAATGCATTCTATCAATGAGGGCCTCAAAAAAATAGAAGTACAAAACTGTGTGCGTGTGTTAATCAATCAATCAATCAAACTTTATTTATATAGCACTTACAAAGTGCAACACAAAGTGCTTTACACAAGAAAGGAAGCCAATGCAGATACTTTAAAATTGGCGTAATGCATTAGTGTCTCTGTGTTGGCTTGAGAAAGAAACTGTTGCAAAATTCAGTTTTGGCTATACTTCTAATATGTGATTCAAAAGTAAGATTCGAATCAAATATAACTTCAAGGTTTTCACCTGTTGACAGGGTTTTCGTGCCAGTTATTGCAGTTTTGTGTTGAGTTTCTCTCTCCGAGCTCCATGAACAATAACTAAGACCTCGGTTTTGTCCTGGTTGAGTTGAAGAAGGTTTTCTGCCATCCAGGACTTGATATCTAAAATACAGTTAAAATTTTTAAAATATAAGATAAAAAGTTAAATGGCATGATATCAAAAACATGGTTTTGAGGAATATTCGGAATATGAAATGACAAAGACAAACAACTTTTCATTGCAAAGATACTGCAAAAAAAAAATAAATAAATAAAAAAAAATCCTCACTGTGTAATTTTTGACCCTTATGCATCATAAGAGTACTTTCAGTGGGAGACTCATACCACCAAAATGTACCACTGAACGCCACAGGAAATCATTCCTGCCTGTGGCCATCAAACTGTACAAATGCTCCCTCTGAGGGGCCCTTAGACCATTTCACCCACTGTCAGCAACCTAACCAGTAAATTATTATTTATTCCACAGTTCACTGCTGACTTATTACAATAATATGTGCAGTAACTAACAGTGTTATTACTCTGTGCATTAATTTAACATTTACCTTTACTGCATATATTCTGTTTATTATCTATTTTTGCCACTGTGTATGTGTATATTTGATAGGTTAATATATATATTTTGCACTATACAATTTATCTTTCTACTCTTGTAAGGAGCACCTGTAACGGCAACAATATCCCCCCGGGGATCAATAAAGTATCTCTGATTCTGATTCTGATTCTGATCTACAGCAGGCCTATTTAATTAGCAGCCCTCTGGCCACATGCAGCCCAGAATCTACCTCTGAGTGGCCCGGGCAGGGATTAGTAACGAGACCCTGTATTAAACTGCCCGGGGCTAATTTAATCAAGACCCCAATATAATAATAAGCTCCACCGTATTGGCTCTTATCCTTACTTTTTAAAGTTTTGGTTTCATGTATCATCATGAGTCTCTCTCCTGCTCTCTGCATGTCAGGGCTGACCTCCTCCTCACAGCACACACACTCAGACACAACACAACAAAGTGAGGTCAGACAACAGCAGAGAGGCCACGGTGCAGATTAAGTGCATTAAAACTCTGCCAGTTAAAAGCCAGTACTTAATCGATACATGTATTCAGCATGTAGAAAGCCATATTTCAGTCTGCACTGTCTGCAGTCTCTCATTCACCTCTATTATGGTTTACAATCGTGGTCTACACAAGCACATCGCGCTAGCGGGGCAAACTAAAATGAAAGCTATCTGTATGTAGTCTAACACTTTATCTGAAAATGTACCTGAGGCAGTTGACCTGCAGACAGTGAGTCTCCTCAGTTGAGGGGGGACAGAGAGCAGGATGAATGATTGATACTGATGTTTGTGTTCTTAATGCTTAGATAACCATACTTTTTTCACTCAGTATTGTGATAACAGCAGGGATATTTATTTTATTGACATGTTAGATTTGTTTCCAGTGAGATATTATTGAGTTTATATTGTGAGTTCGTTATTGTAAACATGACTGTTACTGCCATTGACTGTATAAAATGATATCCTGTGTATCTGAAGCAAAAACGTCAGGAGGTGAGGTGTGTGCATGTGTGTGTGTGGAAGAGAGGGGAGGGAGGGAGTGCTGGTAGAGAGAAAGAGTGTGTTATTAGTTACTGTTATATATAAGAGAGAGAGAGAGAGAGAGAGAGAGAGAGAGAAAGAGAAAGAGAAAGATAGATACATATATACATACATGCTAAAAAAAGTCAATAGGTTGCTCATGACTCATCGAAATTTTCTGGTTTTAAAATCCACCCCAATTGAATTTGGAATTGAATAACCCTGATCTACAGGTCAAACCAACAGGGACATTGAGAGCTGTATTTACAAATGCATTACACTCTCCATCTACTTATACTCAAACTCAAAATAATTGCAAAGGGTGTCTGCAAACACACACACACACATACACACACACATTCTTGTACTTACATTCTTGACATATTGCATTCCCTAGTCACAAACCCTAATCTTGACCAACACAACTAAATGCCTAACCCTAACCTAAACCTAATTGTAACGTGAAACTTCTAAAGTAGTGAGGATTAACCAGAATGTCCTCAGTTTTAAATGTGTCCTCACTTTCCAAAAATGTCCCCACTTTGTTGGTAAAATATGTGTTTTCGTCCTCACATGTACAAGCAGTCACACACACACACATACACACATCATTGCAGTTAATATGGACAATTCTGCTTTCTATCTATTCTAGGGTAAGCATGAGTATATCAAATTGTGAATAAATGCATCCCCAAATCTACAGCACACTAGACGTTAGCTTATTTATAACGTGTAACGTGTTCGAAACCAGTTCACCCCAATCACCCCTAATTTAGGCATATTTGTTTTATTGAAAGACTGTTTTTGTTGTTGTTATGTTTTTCATTCATTCATTCATCCTCTTGACGGTCACGGGGGGGCTGGAGCCTATCCCAGCTGACATCGGGCGAGAGGCAGGGTACACCCTGGACAGGTCGCCAGACTATCACAGGGCTGACACATAGAGACAAACAACCATTCACGCTCACATTCACACCTACGGACAATTTAGAGTTATCAATTAACCTAGTCCCCAATCTGCATGTCTTTGGACTGTGGGAGGAAGCCGGAGTGCCCGGAGAGAACCCACGCTGACACGGGGAGAACATGCAAACTCCACACAGAAGGGCTCCCCATCTCCACCTGGGATCGAACCAGCAAACCCTCTTGCTGTGAGGCGAGAGTGCTAACCACCACACCACCGTGCCACCCGTTGTTATGTTTTTTTTGTTTTTTTTTTTTCATCTAGACTACTGTATTAACCCCTCCCCAGGAACATAAAGTGTTAACTTTAATGATGTCACAACTACTGTATGTGGGCAGTCCCCTCAGATTAATGTGTGCCAACTACAGTATATAAATAACTTGTGTCCTGAAATATCATAATTCTTTGTATGTGATGAAAAAGGGCAGCTGCCCTTGATTATCCTGCCATTGAAATATTTAAGCTTTGTGAGCTGGAGTGTTCCTTCTGTCCTGGACCAGCCATGGTGGTGCCAGCTACAGAGCTTCTCATATTCCTCGGTCTCTTCTGGGGCAAACCTGGCTCATTTGCTGCTCTGGATAACTGTGTTTTCTTGGGGGAAGAGGAGAAAAACAGTCTGTATGAAGATGGAGATGTAGTTATAGGAGGCTTATTCCCTTTTCATTACAGCCCTGTGTCTTCTCTTCATACATACACAACAAAACCAGCGCCTAATACGTATAAGGAGTGAGTGAATATTTGTATGTATTTAATAGTAACTGGCTTGTGCAGTACACGGCAGATTGTATTTTTTTTTATTTATGTTTATTATGAATGTAAATATCTGTGTATTTTAATATAATTACATTGATGCTGTGTAATGGAGTGCTTTTCACTGTACAGTTTCAGTTCTCGTGCTTTACGCTGGATGCAAACCATGACTTTTGCAATCAAAGAGATCAACCAGCGCAGGGACCTCCTGCCACAGCTCAAGCTTGGTTTCCACATCCGTGACAGCTGTGGTGACAAACCTGTGGCTCTGAGAGCATCTTTTCTGTTGTTGAATGGACAGCCAGAGATTGACACTGGAGATGAAAGTGTGAACAGAGACAAAGGTCTAAAAAGAAACAGTACTTCTAATTTAGGCTGTGCTGCTGTACAAAGTACTGTGTCCCCAGTAATCATAGGGGGTGCTGCCTCTGGGGTGTCAGTAGCTCTGCTAAGAGGCCTGGGTTCTTTCCATATCCCCCTGGTGAGACTGCCTGACAGTCTGTGCTCTTTTGCTGTGATAATGTTAATAATACGTGTTTTTGCAATGTTAAATCAGTCTTTTAAGGGTTCTTTATATTAATTAAGTTCCACACAGTTGCTAATCATATCTGTACTTTTAAAACTACGTTTCTCATCGACTTTTCAGGGAAAAGAACTGCTGCCTAATTATGTCTTTCTAGTTCATTTAGCTTTCTCCAAACATAGAGAAACACATAATTTTTTTAGTTAATTTAAAATCACCAACTTTGGTTGACATTGTTTTCAATACACACA